ACTTGTTCAATTACCCGATAGTTGGAAGGGTACCGTTATTTCAATTAGCGGATCATGTGGTAAATCAAAACTGAAGTTTTCAGAGGTGGTGGACATGATTATGACTAAGGAGATTAGAAGACAAGAGGAAGGAATTTCTAATTCAGGGTTGGCATTGAATTTTGAGAACAGAGGTAGAAACAGAAACAGAAATAGAGGGAATAGCCGAGGAAGACCTAACTCGAGGAACGAAAGGTCAAAATCCAGAAATCACAAGAACAAGAAAGAGATTGACTGCTGGAATTGTAGCACATTTGGCCACTATGAGAATCAGTGCTGAGAACCCAAGAAGGACAAGGAGAACAAGACTGAAGCGAACGTGGTTTGGCCACTATGAGAATCAGTGCTGAGAACCCAAGAAGGACAAGGAGAACAAGACTGAAGCGAACGTGGCCTCAGGAGAATCAGATGATGCCCTGGACAAGGAGAACAAGACTGAAGCGAACGTGGCCTCAGGAGAATCAGATGATGCCCTAATCTGCTCGTTAGAAAGCAAGACTGAGTCGTGAGTGCTGGATTCAGGAGCTTCGTTTCATGCTACCTCAAATAGAGATTTATTTGAGAACTATGTTTTAAGAAACCTAGGAAAAGCCTATCTTGGTGATGATCAGCCCTGTGATATTGTTAGCAAAGGAGTCGTGCAGATCAAACTCAAAGGGTCTACATGGAAGCTAAGTGATGTGAGACATGTTCCTAGTTTGAGGAAGAATCTGATTTCCATAGGACAATTAGTGAAAGAGGGATATGTATCAACCTTCGCATGTGATACGTGGAAGGTTACAAAGGGATCCATGGTTGTTGCCCGTGGTACGAAGACTGGGTCCCTCTACATGACGATAGATGCACGTGGTTCTATTGCAGTGGCTAAAAGTAAGGAAGACCCAAATTTGTGGCACCAGAGGCTTGGTCACATGAGTAGCAAAGGCCTGAAGGTTATGCAGTCGAATGGGAAGTTACCAGGTTTGAGATCGGCTGACATTGACTTATGTAAAAGCTGTATTCTTGGGAAACAAAAGAGAATAATCTTCAAAAGGGTTGGCAGAACTCCTAAAGAAGAGAAGCTTGAGCTAGTTCACACAGATGTGTGGGGTCTAGCATCGGTACAATCCACTGGTGGAAGGTTATATTTTGTGACCTTCATAGATAATCACTTGAGGAAGACTTGGGTCTATTTCATGAAACACAAATCAGAAGTATTTGAAGTTTTCAAGAGGTGGAAGGCTATGGTAGAGAACAAAACCGGTTTGAAGATAAAGAAGCTTCGTTCAGACAATAGAGGCAAGTATGAAGATTCAGAGTTTAAGAGGTTCTGTTATAATAGTGGCATCAGATTGGAGAGGACAGTGCTAGGTACACCACAGCAGAATGACATAGCAAAACGGATGAACAGAACGTTGACTGAGAGAGCCAGAAGCATGCGTTTACAAGTAGGACTTCCAAAGTAATTCTGGGCAGAAGCAGTCAACACAACTACCTACTTGATCAACCAGGGATCATCAGTGCCTTTAGAGCACAAATTACCTGAAGAAGTATGGAGTGGAAAGTAGGTAAACCTTTCTCACCTGAGAGTATTTGGACGTGTTTCATATATTCATCTGAGTGATCATGCAAGAAACAAGCTTGATCCTAAATCATTAAAATGTTTCTTTATTGGCTATGGCGGTGATGAGTTTGGCTACAAGTTCTGGGATGAGCAGAACAAGAAAATCATCAGAAGCAGGGATGTGGTCTTTAATAAAACAGTCCTCTACAAAGATCGTGATGTCGTTCAGTCCACTAGTTCGGTGCAGTGTGAGCCCACATACTTCGAGTCAGATAATGCCTCAGATGGAGGCAATCTCGAAGCCAGTTCTGATGAAGAAGAAGCAGAAGAAGAGTTAGTGGATGAGACTACCTCAGAGGAGGCAAATGAAGATGGAGAGCCTGTTTCGCCCGTTAGAGAATTGAGGCGGTCAGCAAGAGTCCCCAAGCCTAATCCAAAGTATCCATGACTACAGCCCAGAGCTCATCAGAACTACCTGCTACTGAGTGACGGTGGAGAGCCAGAAAATTATGATGAGGCACTTCGAGTGGATGATGCGAGCAAGTGGGAGCTTGCTATGAAAGATGAAATAAAATCCTTGAACACCAAAAAGACATGGGAACTTGCGAAGCTACCAGCGGGGAAGAAGGCCTTGAGCAACAAATGGGTGTACAGAATTAAGGAGGAACATGATGGTTCCAAGAGATACAAGGTTAGATAAGTGGTGAAAGGATTTCAGCAGTGAGAATGAGTTGACTACATAGAGATCTTCTCTCCTGTAGTCAAACTGACTACCATCAGAACAGTCCTGAGTATTATTGTAGATGAAGATCTACATCTCGAGCAGCTAGATGTAAAGACAACTTTTCTCCACGGTGACCTAGAGGAAGAGATATATATGCAACAGCCAGAGGGGTTTACTCAGAATGGCAAAGAGAAGATGGTGTGCAGATTGAAGAAGAGCTTGTATGGCCTGAAACAAGCTCCAAGGTAATGGTACAAAAAGTTCGATGGATTCATATACGGGAACGGGTACTCCAGGTGCAATGCTGATCATTGTTGCTTCGTCAAGGAGTTTGACAACAGTTATATAATTCTACTTTTATATGTCGACGACATGCTAGTAGCCAGTTTAGACATGAGAGAGATCAAGAAGCTGAAGAAGCAGTTGTCGAGTGAGTTCGATATGAAGGATTTAGGCGCAGCGAAACAGATATTGGGGATGAAGATCAGTAGAGACAAGCTCTTGGGCACACTGCGGCTATCTCAGGCCGAGTACATTAGGCGGGTGCTTGAGAGATTCGGGATGAGTGGTGTTAAGGCCGTTACCACACCGTTAGCTAGTCATTTCAAATTGACTAAGGAGCAGTGCCCTGAGACTGGTGAAGAGAAAGACTACATGGCTAAGGTTCCATATGCTTCAGCCATTGGAAGCCTCATGTACGCCATGGTATGTACAAGACCTGACATTGCCCATGCAGTGGGACCTGTGAGCAGATTCATGTCAGATCCAAGAGAGCAGCACTGGAAAGCAGTAAAGTGGATTCTGATGTACCTACAAGATACAATAGAAGAATATTTATACTTCAAGAGAGGCAAGTTAGTTCTGCAGGGTTTTGTTGATGCAGACTATGCTGGTGAGATAGACCAGAGAAGGAGCACTACAGGATACATGTTCACTTTGGGCTCTACAGCTATTAGTTGAGTTTCTCAGTTGCAAAAGATCGTTGCTTTATCAACGACAGAGGCTGAATATGTTGCTATGACAGAGCCAAGCAAGGAGATGATATGGTTGCAGGGTTTCTTGGAGGAGTTGGGACAGAAAAGTAAGAAGAGTGTCTTACACTGTGATAGCCAGAGTGCAATTCATTTGGCGAAGAACCCAGCTTTTCATGTAATGACTAAACACATACAGGTCCGTTACCACTTTATAATATCAGCGTTGGACGAGGACATGTTGGAACTTGTGAAGATTCAAGGAAGGAAGAACCCGACCGATATGCTTACTAAGGTTGTCATTACGGACAAACTGAAGTTGTGTTCAACTTCAGTTGGCCTCAGTACTTAATGATATGGAGGCCATCGCCATAGAGAGAGGTGATAAAGATTGATAGTTAGTCTCCAAGTGGGAGATTGTTAGGATATGTGAAGCTTAACTATCAAACTTGCCCTATACTTCAGATTGAAGAGGAAACAGAAGAAGTTGAAGGAACCGGGTCAACGGCGATGAAGTTCAAGCAAAACGACGAAGAACTCAGTTTGACAGGATCACGGTCGACCGTGCATGGCGCGGCGGTCGACCACATACGTGCACAGCAAGGGTGCACAGGTCAGAAGTTCATCGCGGTCGACCGCGCATGGCGCGGCGGTCGACCGCCTAAAGTCCTGAGACTTTCCTGGGCTTCTGTCGTTTTCACGGTCGACCGCGAGTAGATAGGAGTATGATAACAAGTGTTTTGGGATCAAATAAGTATGATTATGTGAGAGAAATCAAGTGGAAAAGACCAGCACACGATAGGTTCATGCACAGCAGATTTCTGCTGTGCGGTCGACCGCGCGTGGCGCGACGGTCGACCGCGAGTCGGGTTTTGGCCCAGTTTGTTTTTTGATCCGTTTCCTATTCCTGTTTGTAATACCCTTATATCTATAAAAGGGTTGATTAGGGCATGATGTAATTAAGAGACAAAAATAGTGAAATTTTCTCCTGCGGCGGTCGTGGACGTAGTTTCTCACATTGAGAAGCGAACCATGTAAATCTTGTGTGTTTATGATTGTGATTCTCTCTCTCTCTCTCTCTCTCTCTCTCTCTCTCTCCCAAATCTCTATTTCCAAATTGCATCAGGGGGTTGTGCATCCCCAACAATAATATCCATATTATTGGCTTTACCTGCCATACATATGTGTTTAGTGGGTCACTTTTTTCTGAAGAGCTATTATGCAAAAAAAAAAAAAAAAAAACCCCTTAATGGTCACTTTTTTCTGAAGAGCTATTATGCAAAAAAAAAAAAAAAAAACTCCTTAATTATTCTTCCAATTTTTTGTTGCTTCCTTCACCAAAAGAGAAAATATGTGTACATGCTACTATCCTATGTTACCAATGGAACCTCCATTTTGGTATCTTACATTGTTCTGCTTAACACCATGGTCAGAGAAAAATATGTGGCTAGTTAATTTGATATTATGAGCAAAGCAAGCTTGTTTCATGTACGTAGGCTAATGATGTCTTGCGGTTCCTCAATGGCGTAAGCTAATTAAAGGAGAAGATGGAGGAGCTTGATATTCTGCTTAACAGACATATAAGAAATTGCATGTTTAAATCGAATACTTAATGTCATGGTCACTGCTTCATGTACAAAGAACTCTTTTGAACAGGCACCGACAGATGACAGAATCACATATCAGATTACATAGAGAGAGAATTGTCGATCTCTCATTTTACTCAGACATCAGACTTAATAGCCTTGCTGTACCCAGTCTGATCATCATAGTACTTAGACCACAACATCACTCCACCGTACTTTTTCGACCTCTTGAGCACCGGAAGCACTTTCGATGTCAAATCTCCCGTCGGTATAAACCCACTCCCCGCAGCATCAGGCGCAGCCGGCAGACCCAAGAATATATTCTTCGCTTTAATCCCCGCCGTCCACTGTTTCCACGCATCATCAAGATTAGTCACTTGGCCTGAAGAGTATTGGCATGGAGGATTGTTATAGAATTGGACCCAGACGTAGTCAAAAAGTCCGGTGTCAAGCGCTTTTCCGACCATAGCATCAGGATACGGGCATTGAGGCGCTGCGGTCAAATACACCTTCTTACCCTTTGCACTGTACGCTGAAAGGTATGTAGCCAGATCGTCATAGTGATCAGGGCCTCCACTCTCGATATCGAAATCCACACCGTCGAGTACTGCATCTCCTAAAGGTCTTTTAGGAGACTGGCCGCCGAGGTAGTTGTTCCAAATGTACTGAGCCAGTTGTTTCGCGTCGTCTTGGGAAGCGATGGAGTAAGCTCCAGCGCCGCCCCCAATCGAGAGGATGACCTGGTAGGAAAAAAAAAAGGGAAAGTAAATTAGGGAAGACGCAGGCTTTCTAGTAGAGCGCTGCATGTGTTTTAGAACACTGAACTTAAAACAAAATTCGACCTACTCCAGTACGATACGATGAGGATTATTTGTAGCGCCCACATATTATTGTTTAAGTTTGATAGTCGCATATGCATACCCATGAGTAAATTCTTTTTACTTTCCCTTAAAGGATGGCTGCTTTTGCTTTTTAGGCCAACAGAACCCCGTGATTAAAAGAGCTAATTAAGATAATTCGCTCATAGTGTATCTGCTAATATGAAACTTAGGATGTAAGAAGTGACACAACGTGATACTTTTAGGGGGTCTATGTGCAATTAACATATATAATTTTAAAATTGTTCTAGGTCTTAAATTAAATACAATTTTTTTTTGGCTGAAAATCTCTAATAACGTCACCTTCACTCCTTTGGACTGACAGAAGGTGATATTACTGCTAAGACCGGTGCAGCCGTTGGAGTAAGGATCACAGTGGCCGGCGAGATTGAGTTGGGGATTCCGGCCAGCTCCGAAGGAGGACAGAAAGGCCAAGTTCACGAAGGAGTAGTCTCCGGTTGCGCAAGTCTCGGCGAGGGTGCCTTCATTCCCATTTTGGCCCCAGTAAATTGAAATCTTGCCAGCATTGGAGAAGGTAAATACTGAAGCCAAGAGGAGGAAAGGAGCCCAAATATTCATTCTTGAAGCCATTCAAATGTTTGAGAGTTGCTTGATACTGATGAGTAGTATATGGTATTGGTTCCTTATATATAGAGAGAGTATAGTTTTAGATTGTTATGCATAAGCGGGCCTTTGTGGTTATGTTGCAACCATAGTTTGAATGGACTAATTGGGTTTTGGTGTTAATTAATTGAGTTTAATACAGAAATACTGGCAGAAGGTAGTGTACGCTGTCAACTTATGCACCGTTGATTGTCTTTTACGTTTAAGCATGGCAGTAGTTGAATGACTGGTCGATCTAATCTTAATTAATGCCTTAGTATATTTTTAATCAAATTAAGATTGACCTTTTAAGTGAAAACTTTTAACTATTCTCGACGTTATTTTCACTTCTACAACTTTATCGTCGATGATTTTCTGTTGATTGGGTTCATTTTGATCTGATCAATTTATCTTGAGAGATTCTATGTACAAGTTAATAGGTTGTTTGGGAATTTTCTTCAGTACTTGTTTCCTTTTCTCATTGTACATGGTGTATATTATGAAGTATTTCTCTCTTCTTTATAATCAATAGGAATATTTAAAATATGATCCCTTTCTACTATGATAATCTTCTTTTATTACAGCAGTTGTCTTTAATTTGTATAATCATCTTCTTTATAGTATGACAATATCGTGACCTATTTACTCAGAAATTAGTTTTTTCGTGTCTTAATATTTTTTTAATCTCTTCATCTTGTACTTCTCCTATCTTGCTCTCAATGTACATTGTGTATCTATTTTTCTAATCAACAAATACGTAAGATGCATGCTGAATTATTTGAGAAAAGAAAAGGATAAAAAACGGGCAACAATAAAACTTTATGTGATCAACATGAACCTGAGGGTTGAAGTACATTGGCAATTTTTGTAGCACCTCTTAACCAATTGGTTTTTCTTTTTTCTTGTTCTTTTTTTCTTTTGAAGTAATTAGTCGGTATTGAAAGCTACTCTAATGATCTTTTAATATTAAAAGTCCATTTATTCTGCAATTAGGAATTTTCTTTGCTGCTAGTTAAATTTTGGCAACCTTGTCAACTTAATTTGTAGCAAAAAAATTATATTTTATTCAATTAAATCCTAATAATCATCCCACTAACCATCTACATTTTAAAAACTACATGAGAAATCAAGAAATCTACATTTTTTATTGGTGTCATGTCATCTAAACCCAACCACATTAGTTAAACAAAGCACCATTAGTTTTTTAATTACCTTGAAATTCAGTCACGTACTTGTCAACTTAATTTGTAGCAAAAAAATTATATTTTATTCAATTAAATCCTAATAATCATCCCACTAACCATCTACATTTTAAAAACTACATGAGAAATCAAGAAATCTACATTTTTTATTGGTGTCATGTCATCTAAACCCAACCACATTAGTTAAACAAAGCACCATTAGTTTTTTAATTACCTTGAAATTCAGTCACGTA